GTATCAAGCTGAGTATGGTGCACACACCTTGATCCCAGTATTTCAAAGGCTGTGGCAGAAGAATTGCAAGTGCAAGCCCAGTCTTGACAATTTAGCAAGACCTTGTCTCAGAATAAAAGATAAAAAGTAGTGAGACCCTGTAGACCTTGTCCTAAATACAAAAAAGAAAAAAGATAAAAGAGCTCATGGGGCCAGGGAGATAGCTCAGTAGAATAAGTACAGAAGTACAGGGTTTTGAGTTCAATCCCCTGTACTGCAAAAAAAAAAAAAAAAAAAAAAAAGAGCTGGTGATGTAGCACAGTGAGAAAATCCTGAGTTCAGTCCTCAGCACTGAAAGCAACAATACACACACACAAACCACACCCAGTCTCAATTATCGTCTCAGCCTGCCCTGCTATTGTTAATAATACTATGAAATTAGTGTCCCGATATCTGTTAATGTCTCTATCTCCAATTTTGGGTATGAAAAGAATTACAGGATTGGGCAGGCCAGATAGCTCAGCAGATTAAAGTGCCTGTTTAGGCAGAGTGCAGTGGCCAGGGGTTCAATCCCCAGCCTGCCTTCCAGCCCTGCCCCTAGGGCACTCTGGGATGTGGATTGAGACTGGATGTGGTGACCCGTGCTTGTAATCCCAGTGCTTGGGAGGCTGAAAAACAGGAAGGATCACTACAAGTCCATTCTGTATAGTGAGACCCTGTAGATCCTGTACTAAATACATTTTTAAAAAAACAAAACAGGGCTGGGGAGATGGCTCAGTGGAATAAGTGCTTCCCTGGCAAGTGCAAGGGTCTGAGTTCAATCGCTGGTTCTGGAAAAAAAAAAAAAAAAAAAGAAAAAGAAAAAACGCTGGATCATATGGTAATTATTCTCATTTTCTTCCTCCTCCTTTAAAAAATTTTTTTTTAAAAAATTTATTTGTGTGTGTGTGTGTGCGCCCAGCTCAGCCCACCAGGGGGCGGGGCTGGCTGGCATGTGGTGCTGGGGGATCAAACCGTGGTCCCTGTGCTTTAGCTAAGCTTGTTCTAAGTAGGTGCTTTAGACTACTGAGCCATCTCACCAGGCCCTCCTCCTCCTTCTTCATCTCCTTTTTCTCCTCCTCCTCCTCCTTCAAAACAGCCATATTATTTTACTCCCTCTCTCTTTGCAGTTTTGGGAATCAAATGAGGGTATTATGCCTACTAGGAAAGTGGTCTACCACTATTCTATATCCCCAACCCCATTTTTCATTTTTTTAAAAAAATTAAGCTGGGGTGGGGGCCAGGGAGATGGCTCAGTAAAATAAGCACTTCCCTGGCAAGTGCAAGAGCCTGAGTTTAATCCCTGGTTCTGCAAAAAAAAAAAAAAAAAAAAGTTGACATGAAAGCCGGTGAGATAGCGCAGGGACTGGGGTTCGATCCCTGGCACCACATGCTGCACCGCCCCTGCCCCCAGGTGTGCTGAGCCAGCCACTGAGACCAGGCATGGTGGCACATTCCTCTGATTGCAGCACTGGGGAGGCTAAACACAGGAGGATCACTATCAGTCTGTCTGACTGCATAGTGAGACCCTGTACCAAATACATTAAAATAAAAAAGTTAAGCTGGGGTTATAGCTCAGTAGCATAGGGCCTACCTGGCAAGTGTGAGTTTGTGAGTTTGATTTCTAGTTCCAAAAAAAATGTGAAGTCAAACAAGAACCAGACATGGTAGTGCATACCTGAAACTCCAGGATTTAGGATGCTGAGGCAGGAGAATTGTTACCTGTCTCAAATAAAACAAAATACCTAGGAAAATATTCAATTTATTTTGTATTTAGTACAGGGTCTACAGGGTCTCACTACATAGATCCGACTCGTAGTGATCTGCCTGTGTTCAGCCTCCCAAGAGCTGGGAATACAGGTGCATGCCACCATGCCCAGTCTTAGCCATGGCATGCTGGGGATTGAACCCACACTGGGGATCAAACCGAGACTGCTGCTGTCTGCCTAAGTAGGCATTTTAATCCACTGAGCTATTTGCCTGGCCCCCTAGGAAAATATTTATTTTTTATTTTATTGAACAAATAGCAATGAGACAGTTTCAAAACTGATTAATAGGACAGTTTCAATAATTAATACATTGTACATTGTTATCGTCTTAGTGGTTATCCATAGTACAAGATGCAGACAGAATATCCTGTCAAAATACTATTAGTACAAATCTCATTGAATTAAGCAAAAGTAGCTGTATATCCAAACTATTCTGCATATACAGATACAAAATGTTCCTTCCTTTGTATTCCCTTTCTTTGTTTAGTCTTGTCAGAATTGGGTAGTCCATTGGCATCTAAATATTATAGGTAAGCGGCCGGGGAGATGGCTCAGTGGAATAAGCGCTTCCCTGGCAAGTGCAAGGGCCTAAGTTCAATCCCCCGGTTCCGCAAAATAAATAAATAAATA